CACACCACTAGTATGCACACCCCCCTAAAGTCACACCACTTGTATGCACAACCTCTGAAAGTCACACCACTTGTATGCACGGCCCCCTAAATGTCACACCACCTGGTATGCACGGCCCCTAAATGTCACACCACTGGTATGCACAACCTCTTAAAAGGTCATACCACCTGGTATGCACAACCCTTTAAAAGTCACACATCCTGGTATGCATGACCTCTAAAGGTCACGCAACCTTGTATGCATGACCCCATAAAGGTCACACAACCTGGTATGCATGACCCCTAAAGGTCACACCACCTGGTATGCATGAGTCTCCAAAGGTCACGTCACCTGGCATGCACAACCCCATGAGGTCACACATTCTGGTATGCATGACCCCTTAAAGGTCACACATCCTGGTATACATGACCCTCTAAAGATCATACATCTTGGCATGTATGACCCTCCAAAGGTCACACACAAAAATATGTAATTTTGCTTGTGTATTTTTCTCCAAAATTGTGATAAAAACTGTTAGTCCATGTTAATTTATGTCAATTTAGTCCATAATTATCTAAAACATTATCAAGAAATATGTAAAAATTTGCAAAATATAGCATCAAACTTTAATGGGAAAAATGATGATGTCCGAACTTTGATTTTTCTAAAACAATGGTGGTGTTTCTCATGGTTATTTAAGATATAGGGAAAAACTGGATTCGATTGCCAAAAACACATGTTTGTGTTTACAGTGACTTCACAAATGTGTTTCTAATTGTCTTCAAATTTTAAAAAGCCATAAATTTCATGTAAACAAACAATGTAACATAAATGCATTGTATGCATTGCATGGGACCCATGTTTTGATTTTCTTGACAGAGGCTGAATACACATATCAACTACACAAAGACGTTGTGCCGCTGTTGATGGAGTCGTACTACAAACCTGATGGTTGGTTAGGAATGCTGATGGGAGTGAAACTTTACATTGACTTCTCTGGTGTCTACACTTATGAAGATCAGATCAAGAAGCTCATCAAAGAGTTAGGAGAGAGAGGGAAGAAGGTCATGTCAATGGAAGAAGGTAATTTGCATATGGCGAGAGTAAGTTAGGAGCGAGTTAGAGGAGAGAGCATATGGCAGGGTTGTGTTAGGGGAGAGAGTAAGTTAGGAGCTAGAGAGGGTTAGAGGAGAGCATATTGTGGGAGTGAGTTAGAGGAGAGAGCATATTGTGGGGAGTGAGTTAGAGGAGAGAGCATATTGCGGGGAGTGAGTTAGGGGAGAGAGCATATGGCGGGGGCTGAGTTAGGGGAGAGTGTACGTTAGGAGATAGATCGAGTTAGAGGAGAGAGCATATGGCAGGGGTTGAGTTAGGGGAGAGAGTAAGTTAGGAGCTAGAGCGAGTTAGAGGAGAGCATATTGTGGGAGTGAGTTAGAGGAGAGAGCATATTGCGGGGAGTGAGTTAAGGGAGAGAGCATATGGC